AAAAAAAACCACAACACACACTCACAAACCAACACAACAGCTAAACAAAACACATAATACTACAATAAAGCCCTCCTCGTCAGCCTACAAGAAGTTCTGAACCACCAACCAAAGCTACACACCTGAAAACAAACGCAAGAAAAGCAAGACCACGACCAAGAAGCGAAACACGAAACTCCCTTCCCCAAGAAGGAGCTGGCTAACGACATCCACCGACACCTGAGCCCGGTTTCACTCCCCTACAGATCCCTAACAGAGAAGCACATGGAGGCTTGCACTTTGCTCTTCCCCCAACACCATATACTGCCGCAACATAAAAAATACAATAGCCGAACCCTCGACGACACCAAACCCTAGAGAAATCGGACAAAGATCAGGGGAAGAAGAGCACCAACCCAAACCCCACCCACCACTAGCAGCAGATGACGCCTGCAATCCCTCGCCCACAACGTCGAATCCCTGGACCATCCCACAGCATACATCTGAACCGGAAGGAGATATGCTCCGGGATGGAGACCTAGATGAGGCAGAGAAGGAGGGGTTGCCCTGGTGCTTGTCAGCTCCCTGGCAGGCCGAAACTCCCATCTGAACAGGAGGCCAAGCAGAGAGAAGAGATTTGTCGGAGAGAGATGCTAGGGATTGCTACAATATTTTTTGGGGGAGAGTACATCAATTTTTTGTTCAACTTTTATGTTTCTTCATAAAATTTAATGTTACAATAGTTATGTGGATGTGGACGAAAGATCACCAGGTTTTTATATGTGATATGACCGATGAGTAGGGGAGCAATTCTGTAATACAATACATAATCAATATTCCAAACATAAGTAGTATTCTAACCAGTCTCGATTGCACTTAATATTTGTCTTCAAAAAAGGTTGTCTCATTCAAAAATAAATGAAAAAGTAAAAGAATAAAGAAAAAATGAGATATATTTGAGATCATGATTAAAATAATTAAGATACAAATGTAATGATTAAAGTGAGTGATATAAAAGTAATACAACATTGATTGATAATTAAAAACTAGCACAGAGTCTGTGCGATGCACGAGGTGCACAATTTTAAAGTTATTTATCCAGCCTTATAATTATATAAATGAATAAAAAATGTACGGGATATATAGTACGGGACCGGTGCGAGACACGGGATATATTTATTTAGAGAATATTATATTATAAGATGCAATATTCAATAAAAGTTTTATAGTACGCAGGAAAATTATACAATAAAATAGTATCTGACAAAAAAAAATTATTTATTATTAAAGACCTCCTTGTACATAGATATTAAATAATCTATTAGTAAAATAGTGTATAAGTTGATTACAATAACAAAACAACATGCTCACGGGATTAGTAAAAATATTCAATGGATTGAAGATTTAATGGGATTAAACATTTAAATTAATTAACTTAGATAATTCAAAAGTCTTCCAACATTGTTTTGACTTTAATATATTACAGCATGTGTATACTTTAAATATATTAATATTTAAGGAACTTTAAACAACATAATTTTTAAAAAAATTATTTTAGGGAACTTTAAATATCATATTTACGTCACTCATAAAACAAATTATATTTCAACATCATTGTTATAGTATTATTTAAGGAACTTGAAACAGTATTGTTAAATATTTACGCCCACCCATAAATTTTTTACAAGTCAAAGGTAATTAATCCCGTTTCTTTTTTATTTATTTGTTTGTTCAAATTTTTTGACAAAACTGATATCATGGACAAAAAAATTTAATATTAAATAAATTAATTAAATAATATAAAATAATATGCTTTAGACAGATATAGGATGCAGATAATCCTCTCATACCAAACAACGCGATTTCAAAATTGACTCAGATCCAACAATCCTATCCAATATTTCATATAAATAAATATTAAATAAAATGCTTTAAACAGAATAGGATAAGGAATTTTGAATCTGCCTTTTTTTTAGTATAAATAGGCTTTACGTACATTTTTTTGACTTCACCGATTATGGGATTTGTTTTGACTAAATCGATGTTATTATGAAATAAGACAAATAATTAAAGTTTTTTTTATTTTAGTAAAGATTTTACGTACTTTTTTTTTACTTATCGGATGTTATGGGATTTTTTTTTCTTAAGCCGGTTTTTATTTTAGTAAAAATTTTAAAGAATAACTAATATAATTGTATTATCTAACCATCAATAAAATCATTTAATGATGTGATCATTATCTTTTAAATGATAAATAATATTATTTTTTTGAAAAAAAATATTAGTTTTATGTAATTAAATAAAGGTTAAAAAATATTACTCGACAAAAAATCATTGCATAAATTATTTAAGGAAAAAATCTTTAAGATCATATCTGGATAATAAATGTAAATATGCAAGCATTTAATGCATATAGTAAAAAATTTTCAAATAAGGTATGCATTAAATGTGTGTTGACTTTTCTTGCTACTATATTTGGTAAATAGGTTGACTTTTAATATATATATATATATATATATATATATATATATAGATATAGATATGTGAGTTGATTAATAGTATTTTTGTTGGAAAAAATATATAATAATTACTTCTTATTGTTAGTATGATAATAATGAAAAATAATACAATATTGATTTGTAACTAAATAAATGTACCTCTATTTATTATTAACTATCACTAAAACCCTACCCCAAAAATCCTATCATCGCTCATTCAACTTTACGGCTGAATTGCCTTCCTCGACGACGACGAGGCCACGACTAGGGGTCGTCCTTAACCGCTCGGCCCTCCCCTGACAGCTTATGATTCTATTCCTGAAAAGAGTGCTAATGCCTCCTTAAGCGCGCCTCTGATGTTGCTGTAGATGGTCAGCAGACTGAGGTCGGGTCCTCGGTTATTGTAGGGGTTCCGGCTAGTGGTGGCGTTTGGCGGCGATTGGGGTCTTCTCCTCAGTCACCGGTGGAGCTCCGATTTGTGACAGTAAGCCCCTCAATCTTTCCCTTGTCAGTGATTGTAGGGCTCTGCTTTTTTTTTTGGTGGGGCTTCATCTCTTCTGGTGGGGCCTGGGCCTCTGGTCGTCCGAGATCCGTGGTGGTGTCGGTCGGAATGTGAGTCATTGGGTGGGGCGGGACTCTAGTTGCTGTGGCGTTTCCTGTTGCGGCGGTCGGGGTTGGGGGACCGAGCCACCCTCACCCTCTCATGTTCGGCCAGTGGTGTTAGGCTGCGGGGGACCTGGTTCTATCGAGCTCGGCTAGTGGTGTTAGACGGGTTCGGGTGGGGCTGGTGTGGGGGCCGGTCATCTTTCTCTCGGTTGGAGACTGGTCGATTTGGGGATTGGTTCGGGGCTCGGTTTCGACTACTGTATAGGTGGTTGTGCGGTTTCGGTAGTAGTTTTCGGGCTTGGAATCTTTCTTGTGTCGATCGTTCACTGTTGGTTTGGGTTTGTTCGTTTGCTAGGGAAGGGCTGTGTTGATCTGTTTTTTAGTTATTTTGTCGTTCATGTTTTGTGATATCTGTGTCTGTATTGTGTTTGTACTTGTATTTTTGGTTTGGGCCGTTGGCCCCTGTGAGCCCGAATGTCATCTTATTATCCTGTTTGGACCGGATGCTCGAGTATTATCCTGATGGGATCTTTATAGTCATTTCTGTTTTGTTTGTGTAGTTGGTTTTAGTGTATTTGCGAGTGTTGTTATTCTAGCTTTGCTAGTTCGGGATTCTAAGCGGTCGGTCTTCTGACATGTCCTCCTACTTTTTCAGCTGTTGCCTGTTCCAGACAGTGTATTCGCACATTTGTGCATTTTGATTATAATATTATTTATAGTTTCCAAAAAAAAAAAAAACAAACCTAAAAAATTTGTAAGTTCACCAATAATATTTTACGATGGAAGAATATATTAATAGAGAAAACAAAGTAATCTAAAATAATAGCAAATTCTGTAAAAAAATAGTTTTAAATTGTTAATGATATAAATCTTCACAAAAAATATTAAAAAAAAAAAAAGAAAAAAGAAAAAGGTTGTATCAGTCTCAGCCTTAGATACTCAGGTGGGTAATTATGTAAATACAACAAGCCCCCTCTTTCTGTTAATCCTTTTGCCCTAAAATTCCATAACCAACAATCCCCTAGATATTTTTTTCAAGCTTTTCTAATTCGCCCTTCGTCACTTTCAGAAGCAGTTGCAGTCACAGCGCACGCTAGAAAACACAGAGTTCAGTGTTCGTCTCGCCGAGAAATTGAACCGGCGAAAGAGCTTCCTCCTATCCTCCTCGTAAGAGCATTTGCCATCAATTTTCATTCTGCAAATTATCGGTATAGCTGCACAATTCTGTATCATTTATGGCTATGAACTGTTAAATTTGAAGCTGGATTTTGTTGGCGTGTACTTTCAGCGATCTTCGCATAATTATTCGGCTGTTAGAATGGTAATCCGCTGAATTATGTATTCACATTCAAATGGATTCTTGTTTCTCTCACACATTTGCTGGCTTATAAACCGAATCGGGAATCAGTTCTTTAGCTTTTGTACTCTACGGAGAGCAGAGCAGCCATTGTTGCATACGTAACGTGTTCGATGTTTTTGTTTCCTTTCTTTAATTTTCATATTTTTGGCTGCTCATGTCGCTGTGTCTTTCACATTTCACTGTATATTTTTGGCAGCCATTGTTACGTAAGCAACGTGTTCGATGTTTTGTTTCCTTTCTTTAATTTACATATTTTCGGCTGCTCGTGTCACGTCACTGTGTATATCTTTCACATTTCATGCCCTTGTGTTGTAATTAAGTAAAAAAATTAAACAGAAAAATAGCCGAAATGGGCCAGCGAGGCGACTACGTGAAAGGGTCCCACACCGTGTCTGATTTTCCATTAAACCAGAAGGAACAGAACGTGATTGGACCCGGTGACACAGTGTACCGCTACTTATGCCCCCTGAGAAAAATCGGAAGCATTATCGGCATAGGTGGTGATATAGCTCGACAGCTGAGGGCTCAGACTCACGCAAGAATCAGGATCAGTGAGAGCATCCCGGGCTGTGACGAGCGTGTGGTCACCATTTACAGTCCAAGCGAGGAGACCAACACGTACGAAGACGAGCATCTTTGCCCTGCACAGGATGCACTTCTCAGGGTGCATGATAAGGTGGTGGCCGCGGACTCGCTGCCCGCGAATGGCTCATTTGAGGAAACCTTTCAGGTCGTTGTGCGTCTGCTCGTGCCTTCGGACCAGATAGGCTGTGTGATCGGTAAAGGCGGGCAGATAATCAAGGGTATACGCAACGAGACTCATGCTCAGGTGAGGATCTTGGGCAGCGAGCATTTGCCGCCATGTGCTTTGAGTTCGGATGAGCTTATCCAGGTATTTTGAGCGTTTTTTTTTT